GTTAAAGATTTGAATGTAAATTTTTATGAATATTTTAATATTTTAAATCCGTAACATTTAAAAAACTTACTAAAAAGCAGTTATTCTTAACACATTTCTAAAAACTAAACTTACATCTTGTAAAGTATTTCAAAATAAAAAAAATCAACAAAAGATTTTGCAGACAAATCTCCAATCTCTAAAAAATTTAAGGCAGATTGTATAAAAAAGTAACATACTTTAACTTGATTTTTATTTTAAGTAACATATTTTCAAAACTCCATTTGTGTACCTAAAATTTAAAGTTTTAAACATTTAAGTATCTGGGTAACCAGTTGAAGACTAACTTTACATTAAAAACATTCACATCATCAATCACGTCAGCAAATAATACTGAGTTGGATACCACATCGCTCGCCACACCAGCATGATAACCGAAAACCCGAGTACTTAAATGTTTCAAACAACACGTTTTTCTAACCGATTCATGCTTTTTTGAACTTCAAATTTTTTGGGTGTTTTGTCAGAATCATATAATTTTGTAATTTATATTTTGAATTTTTTTAATCATGATGATATTATCYATTATATAAAAAAAAATTAATATTTATCAATGATCAAAATACACGAGATTGTGAATAACATTTATTAAATAATATTCGTACACTTACATCAACAAATTTCATAACGATATGAATAACTTTTTTGATAAGAAAACTTAAAAAATATGAAACAAACTCATTGTTATATAATTTAACAGTATTTAATTTAAAAGTACTAAGAGGTTCTAGGTACAAATCCAATGAGGAATAAAAATCCTCTTGTGGCCACGGAGGTTTAAATGCGGTGACTACGGGCTATCTGAAAAGCAGGTGGTCGCCCTGAGATTAGTCGGCTCGCATAGTGAGTTGGATATTTAGGTTAATAAAAAAAACAGTATTTAATTTAAAAGAACATCTTATTGAAAGAAAGAGGTTAAAAATGGAAAAAAAAGACGAAAAATTAGGATGAGAAACCGAAAGCGGATAAAAAGGTGAGGGGCGGTTTATGACTTGTCAGGAATAGGCCTTATCCAGTAAATGTCAACTAAATAAAAGTCTTATCTCTCACTTATCGAGTAAGATTCTCGAATATTAATATTTATCAGTATTTACCATACTCACCCAATAAGATAAATTAACAATCGGTGAATGTTTATCTGATAAATGTTAAATAGTGATTTATTTTCAAAAAATATATTTTATATAATGTACTATGTTTTTATGTAATATAAAGAACATAGTATTTTTTATATGATTAGAAAGAACATATTTTGTGAACAAGAAGTACTATAATTTAGGGGTCGCTTATTAAACATTTATCCAGTAAATCTTTATCGATAAAATTTAATACTACCACTTACTTACCAGGTAAGATTTTAGTCTACCAAAACGACACTGTATGCAACAATTTACCTAGTAAACATTTATCATGGTAAGAGTCGTCGCCTTCACTTACCATATAAGATTATGGTCCTTGTCTCGCTCTTACCGGGTAAGATTCTTAGTCTTTACCATATTCATCCGATAAGGTAATGTAACGTGATAAGCACTTACCCAGGTAAGTGATTAGTAAACAACCTCTTAATAAGAAAAAATAGCTTTGTTGTTTGAGATGGCTTCTTGTAGACACCAKTCTACGAACAAAAAATGTCTTATTAATTATGATGTAATTTATTAGATAAAAAGGTAACCACCGTTATCATACAACATACGATTTCAAAGTAATTCTTACGGATTTTAAGAATTATAATAAAACCGATTAAAATCGACCTTTTCTATATAATAACTTTTTATCTGTTCGTTGAAATCTGATTCTTTTTATTTTAACGAATTAAAAAAAAATTCAATTAAACCCGATTTATAAAACATTAAAAAATGATTATTGTGATGTTTAATAATATAATGATTAAGTGTAATAAATTAATTAAAGTTAAATATATTTATTTTATTTTTAAACACATAATTTGTTACTGTAACTTTTTACTTTTTTTAGAATCTGATATTTGACTTTCAGAACATTTTCAGCATCCTTTGTTTCAAAAAGCACCTTCAAGTTTAGATACATTGACACAATAGGCCCAAAGAACCTTAATACTCATGTAAATTTGTAGAATGAMTGTTTTGCCCCTTTAGTTGGGCTTCGTTAAGCGTCATTGTTGCAGTCAGTGGGGACCATATAGTCAACTTACATACGAATTGGAAGAGATGAAAGGACTAATAATGTAAAGTTCAGTGAGTCCAAGGGACTGAAATGACATTTAAGAGATAGAATTGGATGATATTWGAAAATATGTTCACTACAAAAGCACAATGCAAAAGACCAACTTAAATTCATCAAGAAAGCACAGGCGTGATCACATACGCATATAGCTTCGGCAAAATTGTAACGTCGATTGCATCAGATTTTCCTTTCTGGCTTCTTCTCTCTCTGGACGTTTTCTTTACTTGGTGGACTACATCGATCCCACCGACTGCAGTACGTAGCTAATGCCACGTTGAATCGGACTTAAATTTCTGCTAACATCAGTTGTCGGTCGATCGTATCACTATATATGATGATCACAGTAGACTAATCTTGTTAGGGTTTGATAGATTCAAGTCTTTTTCAACTGGGTTTTGTTAAAAAGAACCTTGCTCATTGTTTTTTTTCACTTTGCTGTTTTGATTGAAGTTTGCAGGGTTTTTGCATGATGAATAGCGGCAGTAGTCGCAGTAGTAGTGAACCAGCAGTTGATGATCCGAGCAATGCTTCAGGACAGGATTTGGATACCTGGATTAACGAACTTATTTATGATGATCATCGGTTTTCATTAGTGAATTCTTGGTAAATTTATGATTATCTTTCAATTTCTTGTTCTTGATTCTTCATTTTTAAGTTTTTTTGTTGAGTTAAAGTGATTTTTTGCATGTTGGAGCGAGTTTGGGGACTTGCGATTGTTTTCTCAAGGTGTTTGTGATAATGTCTGAATGTGTTTTTAATTGATCAAGAACACTAATTAATCACTGCATAAACAACCCCCGATTTTATCTCTTTTTTTTTTTTTTTTTTTTTTTCCCGGATGTTTTTGTCTTGATATATATTCCGCTAATTTTTTGGGTATTCCTGAGATCAATAATCTGCACAAATTCACATAGGGCTAGTTGCTATTTGGGGAAGAGTCGTCCCCAAATGCTATTATTGTATGCGATCTTTTCTGTTCCGTACATGTGTTGCATATACATATATATGTTTGAACTGTTTGCTTTTAGCATATATATATATATGTTGGAAATTTTAGCTATTATTGTATATGTGTCTGTGTGGGTGTGTGTTTGTGTGTGTATATATATATATATATTACAGGAACTGAATGATCAGTTTGTAGAAATTAAGCAAGGGAGGTAATGAGTTATTGCACTACATAGTTACTCTACATATWTTTTTACATGTTTAAAACTATTTCTTTCATCTGTTCTACTTCTAATTATGCTTGCTGAATATATGGTACTAATWAAGATTGTGCTGAGGATGTAATTAAGGACGATCATCGCCTTCTTTGTTGCTTAATGACTAGCTAGATCGATTTATCGCTCATGGCCAAAGAAGAAAGTTATACATATATAACATTTGTTTTTTGTATTTTCTACATGTATATCTTGGGAAGGATTTAAATGAGAAAAGGAGAAGACATGTAATTGATAAGAAGACACCCAAAAAGATAGAACATGGTAGTATTTATTGAAGGACCATCATAGCATTTTACTTTTAAGTTTGTCTTTGAAAGAAACTTTTGGAAAAAAGGGCTTCTATTTTTTCTGTCATCAAAAGATCACCATTCTAAGTGATCTATTGCTATATTATACATGATCAGATATTTTTCAGCATTAATGTTAAATGCGCAATTAGAAACTTCGATCCCTCTTTATGTACATTCGAGAAATTCTTCTAGAAAGACAGTTTTGTAGGTTTGTATACTGTTGAGCTCAGGTCAATTAGGGCTACATACAGGGGCGTTATCAAGTACCCTATCGTGCACGTGGTTGTCTGTTCGCTTCAAGTTTTTGCGGCTGTCTGTCGTTTAGCGAACAATATAGATATAACRTCTATTATATCCTCGTACCGTGACTATACTTGATGTCGTCACCGGATAATCTACATTTCTTCTATATGTTATTTGTATCTTCCACATCCACTAGACTCGATCAACTTTTAGATTTTTCTTAATTGTGAACAGGACTTGTCRCACTTTCTTTGAACATGTGTGATGTTCTTATTGCGATTATTTAGCTAAATGACCTACCGATAARTACTTTTTAAATCCATGACTTTCTGGCAAGTTTCTAGAGGTTGTTGTGTGTGAAAGTGGCATTTTTTTGTTAAATAGTGATTCTCAAACCTATCAGATTCTTTTGTTAAACAGTAATATTCTCAAACCTGTCAGAAATGACCTTTTCTTATACTTGTTATACTTGTATGCCTTAAAACAATGTCAACAAAAAGTTTAAGAGGTTGAGTTTAAATTATGGAAAGGCCWACTGTTTGTTGATTGTGATTCTAGTGACAACTTGGCTAATTAGCTTTAGTACTAATGTTTCTTTTTGGTTACTGATGCTGCAAACCTTTTCATATCAGACTCACTATTTTGAGTTATGAAGTATGGTATATATATACATACAAGCACAATCTATACATATATAGCGTTGAAACRAGAGTAAAGGCTTAATTTTCATGATCACCAGTGCGGCTGCAATGACGATCAATCCAAATTACCCTACTCAGCCAAACACGACCGCTGTAAATGGAGGCACAGTTTTAAGGGGAGGTTCATCAGCAAATAAGGTATTCCAGTCATTTTAACAACTTGTTCATATGATATTGTTAATGGTTCGAACATCTTTTTACTTTGCGCTATGTGGAGCTACGAATCAATGATCAAGAATCTAAGTTAATCTTTTTACAAGGAAACAAAGCATTAAAAGGTTTCTTTTTTACCGATAATGTCATCAAGCAACTATCAGCAAATGCTTTCGGAGTGGATCTTTGATCCCCTATGATGATGGGTACGGAAGTAATATGTGTTCAATAATTTTGGAGTTGAGGGTGTGCAGTATAAAGATTTATGAAGATGATGCTCAAAGTTGATGGCTTTTTAATCTTTTACAAGAAATTTTCAACTCAAGCATGAAAAACATATGATTTTATGGAAACAGTCATCTGGGATTGTCAAAATTAAAACTGTATAATGGTTGTTTACATGTTTTTATGCAGTCAGTACAATCTGGAATTGCCGAGATGATGACAGCGAGCAGCGTGGCTGCCAACAGTAGCACAGCCACACTGCCAAGATCAGGTAGCAACTGAACGTGTATTTACAAGATGTCAAATATGTCTAAATGTCCTAATAAAATACGTTCTTTGTAAAAAATGYTGTAATAAGTTTATAGTATGCTTTTGGACACGCTAACAAGTTTTTAGGAGACGTTTAAAACAAAGTTTGTAATAATCGWGCTTTATGTTGCAGGTCAGATACTATCTGCAGCACCTAACTTTGTCTCTAATCCTGTTGCACAAAGTTCTCGGTCATCTAGGACAATGGATTTGTCCCAATATCAGCCCATACAGCCTAGCCAGCCGCTCCAAGATCAACCGTTAAGGCAACAGGTCYTGAAGCAAAAAGCCATCCAACAGCCACAAACATATTCCTCAATCGAGCAATCAAACATCATTTTTGGTCATCAAAAGAACCAAAACCGATTTCCATCAAACCAGCTTCAGCCCTGTCCAAGGCCGATGGTTAATAATAGCCAAACGAGTCATTTGCAAAATCAACAGGCATTGTGGCAACAAAGTAACACAAGTCAGTTGCAGCAGCCACAGCCACAGCCACAGCCACCGCAGCAGATGGTTCAACCGATTCAGAGCTTTCAGCAGAATCCGAGTAAAATGCAGTTACAGTTTCCACAGCCTTCTAGGAGCTCTAATAATTTGATACCAGAAAACGGGCCACATAGGTTTCAAGGATTTGCAATTGGTGATGGGCAGCAGAAGCCACAAGAACAGCATCAAGGAAAGATTGCTAATGCCATGGCAGGTAACTTGGAAAGTTACACATTCTTAGCACATATATTATATATGGAATGCATATATATATATATATATGTATATATATATATATATATATATATATGGGTTCACGTGAGACCGAAGGGTTTTCGTGAGACCCGTAAGACCAATTTATGTTCATTGATCAAGTTTATAAATTAATGATCTAATTGCAAGGTGGCAATTTCGTAATTAGTGAGAAGTCTCGTGGCGTTTATAAATGTTCAGATCTGACGATTGTAAATCTAATCCAAGGGTTGAGAATTGGTCTTACGGGTCTCACGAAAAACCATTGGTCTCACGTAATCCCAAGTCTATATATATATATATATATGTTTATGTTTAAACATATACATACATATAAGGACTCGATATACGTAACACTCTTAGCACATATATTATATATGGAATGCATATATACACA